CGAAATGGCTTAGAAGGTTCCTTTTGTGTCGCAAGCGCAACTTATATTTATATATATTGTTATTTTTCTTTAATGGTTCATCAAAATCAACGTAGTTTCTGTGTGAATAATGGTTTTTTAATAATTACAAATGCCAAATTATAGTGTAAACTTCCATTTCAAAAAATACATTTCATTAATTTGTCCAAAATGATTCCCCTACTTTGAATTTTATTTATTTATATTAAAATAAAAATTCAAACTGAATAATAATTTCATAACAGAAAAATATACTTTTAAAAAAGAAAGAGGTACACTTAACTTAACATGGGATCTCGATTACTGAGAAATTGTGGCGGAGGTGTTCAATTTGAAGTTTTGAACATTGTATCAATTGTAGTGAGTAATGATATATATTTGTAGTCATGCATACTGGTCAAAGTAATATTTTCTCGTTTTGGAATTGATAGTCAAATTTAAATTTTTATTTTAGATACTGTAATAATTTTTATATAGGAAAATTTTACAGGAAATTTTAATAAAGAATGAATCATAACCGTCTATATTTATAACTTAGGTCTATGTATTGAAGGCCAGGAGGATAGTAAAATTTTAACCACACCAATCTATGTAAAATTTCTTGTCAAATCTTCCCTATATGTATTACCACTTTTTTATGTTTAGATCAAATGGTATTAAACAAGGAATCTAAACTGGATAATTTTTTTAGACCAAAAAAATATATTCATACAGAATTAAAATATTTTGCGCTTTGTTAGCAGCTAACAGTCTGACACCATATGTCCACCCCCTGAACTCCAAAGGGAACAACTCAAGTGAGAATCAACAACAATAATCGAATCTGAAAGGTAAACAAGTGTGAAGCATATTTCCAAAAGGATTTTCACAAAATGAGACATCCTGCTGGCTTCGTGCATGAATGTAGTTTAAATGTGCACGAGCCCCTATACAGATTTTGGTGTAAATATTCTACAGTAGTTCGGTAAACATTCATATACCACTACACCTATGCTTTATCAATTGACAAAATGAATTAATGTTGATTGAAGTACAATATCAATCACATCCTAAAAGGTGTATTATCTTCCAGTGTAAATAATTGAGTTTTTTCCATTATAATTTTTTTAAAAAAAAAAACCTATTATTTTTAATGGAAAATAAATGTTTACACTTTACACCTTTTAGGATGTGATTGATATTGTACTTCAATCAACATTAATTCATTTTGTCAATTGATAAAGCATATTTCTCCAGAGTGTACTAATTGAAGAATTTTCATATTTGATATACGGATCTCTTCTTAAGCAAAAGGTCGTACGCATTATGTTGGGAGTTTTATTTTTATCAGACGCTCAACTTCTTCGTTTTTTTTATTTTTTTTATTTTTATGTTTTATATATGTTCATTACATATCGATTCAATTACATATTAAGATTTCTGGCATTTTTGTTAAGGTGATAATATGAATTTTAAAGAGATATACTGATAGATTATCAAAAAGAAAATTGTAAAAAATAGATTAAAAGTGTCACAGAATATTTGTATTCGAATTCGTTCAAGTCTCTCTCTTTTTTTTTTTTTTCATATTTGCAGGGTGTCCACCGTCGGCAACAGTGACTAATCCTCCTTGCTAAATTATAGGTACCTCGATGGGTGGGACAGCTGGCCAAATTATGTGATTAATCCTCCTCGCTGAATTATAGATATAGGTACCTCGATGGGTAGGACAGCTGGCCAAATTATGTGATTAATCCTCCTCGCTGAATTATAGGTATAGGTATCTCGATGGGTGGAACAGCTCACCAAAGTATTTAAGATAATTATAGATATAGGTACCTCGGAGGGTAGGACAACTGGCCAAATTATGTGATTAATCCTCCTCGCTGAATTATAGGTATAGGTATCTCGATGGGTGGGACAGCTCACTAAAGTATTTAAGATTGCTCCATTCTCATGGCGAGATTCGAACCCTCGACCTATTATTAAGGCTGAGGAGTCCCTTCCACTCCACCACCACAACTACTTTGGTTCACGTTCAAATCTCTAACATCACATGTACCTATTGAAAGGGTTGGGGTCCAACAAAAGAAAACAAAAGTGTCATATCCCCGTGATTTCCGCCTATCTTTTATTCTTCTGACCTTAATTTCACTCAGAAATGGTGAATAATAACTGCGATAAAGGCTAACGTTGGTCATGGCAGAGTTTAGTTTAGTACGCACATCGTAATCATATATAGTTTCTGATCCACAGTTCAATCTTATGAAAGATCAGTATCAACAACCGAAATGGAAATAATAATGGAGATAACCCGTAATTTTAATGATTTTGCTACAGATGTTATTTTTGAAAAACTCAAAACTAGATACCCAATTTAATCTGAAGAAGCATGAACATATATGATCAGTTTAATGATGATTATAGTTTGAACATGATTAAGAGAATTGTACCTCTCGAAAGAAGTCTACTCAAGGCTAAATCTTCCTGATTTGTTGGGCGGAAGTGTAATGTACCCAAAAATTCTTTTCTTTTTTTTTTTTTTTTGAAGAAAACCCAAAAGTTAATATAAAGAGAATTTCCATTTTTTTTTTTTACAATAAGTGAGACCATAGGCTAGTTTCTAGAAATTACAAGATTACATGGTGAGAAACTCTAACAATATCATGCTGTAATCACTAATCAACGCCTTGTGACGAAAACTCAAATCTTTGAAAACCGCCCAGGCTCTTGGTTGCAACATTTAAGTGTCCTCTACTTCCAAATACTTATTAATGTGAATTATTTTTTCAAGGTACAAAAATAATATCATACTAAAAAATTTTCCTTAGAAAGGATAATTAGATTTCAAACATGCATACTAATACTATACCTCTCTATAGGTAGAAAAGCTAAAGAAAAATGCTGCTTTAGAAAAGAACCACCTACAAAGTTGAGACATAAATTGACACTTTTTTTTACCCAAATCTGGAGAACCAGATTTCATGGTAAATAATTTTTTTTTAAAAAAAAAAAATTGAATTATGACATTATTCACGAATGAAAGAAATCAAAGAAGTAAGTGCAATACATTATGCTATGGCTTGGAGAACCTCATAATTGTTGTAGAAATAAGTACGAACAATATAAGTTATGGAAAAATGAAATACATTATAGTAGTAAATTGACTTCCCTATTTTCAATACACAAGTTCATGTCACACTAAGGGAAGTGAGAAACTATTAGTATTAATTCTCTTAATAAGAAGAAAGAAATTTTTTTACTGTATACGATCAAATAAGTACGAACAAATTATCACCTCGCTTTCGCGTTGGGCACTCACCAGGGGAAAAAAATAGGAAAAGACAGAGAGGGTAACATCTAAAATAAAAACTAGTTTGCCATAACGAAAGATGATTAGGCCCCCTGAACATAGCCTAACAATTTGAACTGACACAAAAGGGATTTGACGGTTTTGGTTGGTTTTTGTTCATTGATAAGTCCCTCTCTAATCTCCACTAACAAAAACCATCACTATATTGGTAGCATACACTAAGCCCGACATTTCCCTCAAGGAAACGTTACTTTAAGTTCGACATCTACCAAAACTCACGGAGCCTCTCACATGCATATGCTTAACTACGGGTTTCCATCACCGGGGCGGCAACTAAAAAGCCGGCTGACCGGGTAGTGTTTACTCGACTATCAGCAGTCGGCGAGTTATGTAAGACGGTACAACCATAAAGTTCCAACCAGAGGTCATAGGTTTTTGAGCACATATCAGGATATCACTGGTGCTGAATGTTACTCACACAACGCATACGAGCTGTTTAACATTGTGCACATGACCTCTACTCCACAATCATCGTTACAAACGGTCAACTAACACTACCGTGAAAAAACAAAATGTTAACGCCTGTTGAAGAGTAGGATGTAAAAGATGGTTCTTCTCATCATTATCATATACAGATCAGATGTATGGAATATGCAACAATATACTAAGTAGAAAAGTCAAACGACAACATGTTGTACTTATTATGGTTATCCACAGTATCAAAAGCATTAACGTTTACGAAACATGAGTATAACAGCATTAGAACATCTAATCCAAGTATCTAACCTATTAATTTGAAGGGGGAGTCCCCATCTAATTAACACAACTAAATTGATCTAAAGAACGGTATGTTATGGGTGGCCAAGTGGGATTTGTACCAAACAGTTAAAGAAGTATGGACACAGACCACCACCACACATGAATGTTGACAATCTAAGACAGCAACAAACCAATGTATTGAACTCAACAGAAACAAAAAAAAAAAACAAATGTATTATTATCCACTGAACGATGTTGATCCACATCAACAAACTAGCTTCAGTCCAGTACTGCACGTGTGGTTCAATAAATAAAAGGACCCCTCGAGAGGGAAAGGAAACACCATCCTCTGCCTTGTCCCACCAAGAACTCCATAATAGAGCAAAGATAACTAACATCAGTCTGCTACCTAAGCTAGAAGATGTCCTTTGATTCTTTTACGTAACAGCACAAAGTCTATAACCTAGAAAAAGACATCAAATGGCCGCATGCAATGATGCAAACTAAACACTTGTCATTACAGATCATAACCAGAATAGGGGGACCTTGCCACAGTTATATTTATCCATCCAACTTCAATTTCCTAATTTCTATGTATCAAAGATAATATCCACTCCAGGTCTATGAACTATCATTGACTAATTGAATTCTAAGTGTTTGATGACTAATGCACACATGCATAGCGTGATTAGGTTTGTGATAATGGACAGACATACCCAAACCGACAAGCCATGAAATTACGACTCAGACCTAAACATGAAGAACAATACATGGCAATTTGCATGGGAAGAGTACACTGACCATGCCAGCTTGCAGAAGAAATTGCTGATGAGCCGAACCTTGAAAAAATTCAAGCTAAAACACCATCATTGACTAAGTGATTTCTCTGCGTTGATGCCCAGTGCACGCATGCATGGCGTGTTAAAATTTGTGAAAACAGAGAGAAATACCCTAACTGACTAGCCATGAAACGACAATACAGACCTAACCATGCAGAACATACATAGCAACTTGCATGGAAAAGAGTAGACTGATAATGCCCGCTTGCAAAAGGATTTGCTGATAATCCAACCCTTCTAACATTGGTCTTGAAGCCATGTCAGGCTAAGCAGACAGACCAAGATCAGCAATTCTCTCTTTTCCGTTTCTGTAATCTTATACATTAAGCAGACAGACTATGTAAAGCTCCTGAATCTTTTCTTTCTTTGATGAACATATGGAAAAACCATAGAGGTTAATGAAAGAAGCTTCTTTCAACTGTGTATCAACAGATAATAAATTTCCCCACAAGTTCACTTATTAAAATGCTAAAATACCCCAGAAGATTGCATCTTCAGTTGCTGTTCAAACTTCTGATACTGGAGAATCATACTTTATCATGACAGAGAAAATTACATAAAACAAGATCAAACGAGTCTCCTCAATAGAGATATGGAAAGGGCAACAGGCTAAGCCTGCATCAAATCATGCATTGATTATCTATTGTTGGTTTTACATTACCCACCAAAAAACACAAAAAAAATAAAGAGAAAAAGAAAAAAGACCAGACAAACAAAAGAAAGAGCAAAATCTAAGGTGGTAAATGATAGGTCAGAAGAGGAAAGTCAGGGAACTGACTACAGCTAGCCTAAGCATCGTATACAGTTATATATTAGAGGATTCACAATGCTACTGAAATAAAGCCTCACAGGGCTCGGCTAATCTTGTGCTTTCCATTCTGAAGCAAAGTTACCCCTCTCTCTTCCAGTGATCTTTTTTTCCTGTCAAGAAAGCCAATGCATAGTTCTTACGTATTTTACAGAGAGAGTAGCAATGCGTGGATACGTGCACCCTAACCTAGAACCAGAACAGTATGATTGAACAGAAATTTGAAAATCTAAAGAATACTTCGCCATCATTGAAGTGCTTAAACAGGAATCAGCTTATCAACTAGCCTAACTCATGTAATAACCAAGTGGGTTTTGACTACATATTTCCAATAAGTTGCTAGAAATCTAGAATGTTCACAAATTAGTTATTGGAGACTGCAACCCATGCTAAATTAACACAAAAGAGGATCAACATCCTAACGGTGTCTTAAACTGACTTTTTAGTGTTGGCAGTACTGCTTCCTTTTACTTTGGCCCCTTTCCTTCCACTTTTCTTCTTTTTTTCATCTCCTATCAACAGAAGAAAAGCAAAACATAAATTAGGAATTGACAAGTCCAGAGTGTTCTACCAGAAGATCCAGAATAACAGAGAATATAAACATAAAAGTCAAAATTTAATGGCTTTTGAACCATAAAATGAGGAAAATATTGTTGCACATGAATCTAAGAAATTAGCTACTCAATTAGACGAATGTTTTCTATTCACATACAGCAAAAAAGTGTATGTTATGAAGTGAGTGCAAGCCTTCTAGCTAGCTTTCGACTTTGTTCCATTAACTCCAAAGCCAACCTCTACCAAATTTTGATCCAGTAACATATTTTCTGAAAACTTGAAACTGCCTTCATTCAAGAGAAGACTAGAAAAGACATGCTTAAAGATGATAATATCTAAAGAAGTGAGTCCAACATTATAAAACTAACCATGCTACCATAACCTCTACGAATTGAATAAATACCACAGGACAAGGATAAGCATGTAAAGTACAAAACTGCAAATCTGTATTACCTTCCACAGGAGAAGGGCGATTATTTTGCTGAATCACATGCTTCACTGTTTCTTTCTGCATCAGAGTATGCCTGATAACGGCACTTCTTGTGTAGGGGTAGCCATGAAAATGCTGTTCTGTGACACTGTTGCTTTCTGTAATTTGCCCCAGGCCTTTATTTTCTTCAGGTACAGTTTTTGATGACTCCCTTGGACTTATTATGTCAGAAGAGGTCTCACCAAAAGAAAGAAGACCTAAATGAAAAACTAAGGTTACATATGATAATTGACCGGAAGAAGAAATGGATCACAGAAAACAGATCACTTGCTTTATAGTTCATATTATACCATAACATCAGGGAAATCTGGCTGTTTCATGGGGAAAAAAGGGAGAAAACAATGACACGAATAACTTCCGCTCATTTAGTTCATGAGAACTTTTGGTGAAGAAACTAGAGAATTCGATAACGTCAGTACGAAATGGTTTACAGATAAATAAATCCCATATTCATTTCCATTTTAGTCACAGGCTCCACACTACTGAGTTCTACTTAATCTAACTTATTTAACTACCATCTGCGACTCGCCAAAGAAGAAAGAAATTTCCAAGGAAAGAAAGAAGAGGTGTTAGCCGCTCTATACACTAACAGATTTTAACAATTAACCAATTTTAAGAACCGATAACCAGAGAAACAATTCTCACCAGCAGAAATAATTCTTTTACGCGAAAATTTAACAAAACCAGATTAAAAAAATTAACATCACAACTGCACAAACAACCAGAATAACGTTCCTGACATTGGGAATAGTTCAACCCCCAATTTCTCCAGAGCAAAGACTTATACATTGCAATTCAGAGACAATTAACCATAACGTGCATCATATAAATGAATAATACAGTAAATTAAATCATCTAATGGAACCAAAAAAAAAAAAATTACCTGGTGGCTCATTCGAAACCAAAGGGGCGTACAAGTAACAATCAGATGTCATGTAATCCTTCACTTTCCCAGACAACTTCTTCTGTTTCGTCTTCATGGGTTGTTCAAATGCCTCAAATCCTACCACCCCACAACAAATCAACAACATTTCCGTTCAAATTGGATTTATCCCACCACAAATAAGAAAATTTTCGAAGGACAAAAGACAAAAAGTTCGATTCTTTACCTGCGGAAGAGGTTGTAAACGTAGAATTCTGGGATGAAACAAGCGGCGCAAACATGTAATTATCCGATTTCAAAAAGTCTAACACCCTTTTGAGCAACAATCGTTTCTGGTCGACCCGTTTCTTCATGAGTTTCGCTTTGTGAACCGGTAGGAAAGAGAACAATTTCTTCACCATGATTCCAGTTTCTTTTTTGGCAAACAAGAGAACCAAATTGCTGTGAAACTTTGGCTTAGAAATCTGGGAATGGAAAAGTTGGTCCCTCCAATGGATCGTTCTTTGATGATGATGATGATTCACCAAGGAAGGAAGTTAGAAACGGTTAGTAGTCGGTGTTGGGTGACGCGCGGCAAACACGTGGCAGCACCTAGACACTTCCAGTTTGTGCCTTCTTTTTTTTTTTTTTTTTTTTCCGGCTTTATCAAGAAGAAAGAAGAAGAGAAAGTGGATCTAAGAACTTCTTTTGGACCATCTTAACTAATTGGGCTTTAGCCCAATATTTCAAAATGCACAATATTGAACTTCAAACGTGGGGTATAAATTTTTCCTTTTTAAAAAACAGGTTGATAAAAAAAAACAGAATACCGATTTGTCTTGTGATTTGAATACGAAAATTGAGCACCAAAAGACTAGAAGGATGCATGTGTTCTCCACTTCCCACTGTTTTATTTTTAATATACTGAAGAATCGTAACACTTTGTTAAGTTAGACTATCCATCTCACTTCCCATTGTTCTAAACCCAAATATTTTGAATGGCCCTGTTGGGTCAAAATTCCAAAGGCCATATGTTATAAGAACAACTTTTGGTTTTACAACCGCATTTTAGCTTTATGATTAAAAACGAAAAAATTCCAAAAAATTATTTCATCTGTCCAAAAATGTACTGAAACGAAAATTCGAAAATGAATCATTTTAAGGAGTTTTTTACCGAAATAAATTTTCAATGAAAGACCTGGACCAAAAAAAAAAATTCATGTCCCGAAATGGTGTAGACAAATTTAGTTGCCACGGATTTACCAAATTCGAATCTGCCAAATACGAATCTCCTAATATTGTAATACAACTATCTGATGGATCATTTCTATTGGGTGGATTTGGATTTTCCAAATCCGAATCTAGTACAAAATGGGTAAATTTGGATTTGACAAATCCGTGACAACTAGTTTTGTTTACATAAAATAGAAAAAAAATTATTTTTGTTCACATCTATTTTTGAGAATTTTTTTGACCAAAACACCCTCGTTTTAAGATGGAAGGAATAAAAGTGAAAAAAATGGAAAATTCTAAATGTATGGTCCCGTTCAAGTTTAATTAATTAGAAAACATCATAAATTCTGATATACTTACCAAATGATACATGTAAACTTACCAAAATCATTAAAAACAATTATTTTAACAAAGTTTAAGCCATTAAAATAGTCAATTATCTCATAAATTCTCAATTAATTTCTTTGTTTAAGGATTTCGATTGCACACGAGCTAATATGTAATTGCACATTTGTTTATATAATTGATATGTCTTGTATTATTTTTTCAATGTTTTATATAATAATTTTATGAAGCTAAGAGACATATAAGTGTTGCAAGTTTGTGGATACAAAATAATTTTGTATTTTAAAAAAATATATTACACATGAAACTTACAAGTACCATACCGTGCCGAAAAAATAAACTTTTATATTTTAAAATACAATTTTGATAACTTAAATATTATTACTTTTGAACTTTTTTTTTAAGTAGGCCTTAACTTTTGTGATTTTTTTTTTTTTTTTGAGTATTGATATTGGATTAATACGTTTCACATGTCACAATGATTGCCACGGCATTATAGCACGAGCCACAAAATTAGCATAAAATTAGAACTTTTTAAAAATTATTCCGACAATATTACTCTTTGAAGTCCAAAATAATTTTATTATCTTTGATTTATTTTTTAATAGATTGTTTGGCATTGCGTATCAAAATTTTATTAATAAATATGATTGTTGCTTTTAATTGCTTCAACATTTGGCGATATCAAACACTAGAATTTCAGTTGACCTCGATAATATCGTGCTACAGTAATTGTACACCTCAAAATTACTGCAAAAACGAAAACGTTGATGCTACAATTAATTGGACATCAACAGAGATATGATTGCCAAAAGTTTGTTCTCTTAATTTTCTTAATACTGGTTGTCCAGACATTGATGCTACAGTTAATTAATTGAATGATTGTTATACGGGTTTGGGCAGCAGAACTAGTAACATGGCGGACATTCAATTCTTGGCAAGAATTTGGTATCCTGCATCGATCATCATTTGTACCTGAGATTCTACTGTCACAAATCAGGTAAACATCCCAAAAAGTATTCTTTAACACATCTTCGATTAATAAATTATAATGACAAGTACATTAAGTTCACTGGGATCGTGTTCAAACATTTGATAGTGCTAGTATTATTTGTTTATCTAATATTTGATTGATGATTGTTTTAAAGTTTTTGTAATTTTTGTCAACTCTAGGAATCACAGACTCCCTTTGTGTTATTCAAGCAACCAAAGCAAGATTGAGACTTGTTCATTCACTAATTATTTCAATTTACAATACCAATGAAACAGTAAAAATAGTTAATAATTTCTCTCTTTTTTTCTTCCCCCAAGAAGAGGGATTTTCAATTGAATTTGTATAGTGATTAACTTGAACAAAACAGTGTCACCTGCATATCTATAATAATTGGCAATCCAGAAATTTTCCCCAAAACCAATTTGGTTTTTGCCTGTTTTGAATTCTAATAATAATTCTAAACCAATTGCTTCACACTTGAAACTGGTTTAAGTCCATGCTTCAATGCTGCATTCCACACTAAATCAATTCTATCTACATCAATTGCTCCAACCTCATGGTGACTCCATCCTTCCAGCGAATGAACCACTCCACCAGCATGGCATGCATGTACTACTCCTCTGTCCATGGTGTACTGTAACCGCGAGATTTAGGGTTCGATTGAGTCAATTTGTTCTGTCGAGTTTTAATAATTGACCAACAAATAATAAGCAATATGATTCATTTCTTACCTCACACGATCCTAGACCTTCAACATCTTCAGGTAGCCTCATTGCAGCAAGATCACCATATGTGCAGTCTCTTCGGAACCTCAAAATCGGTGGAACCACAAACTGATGGAAGTGTGCTCCTGGTGGTGCAAAGCTTTGCTCCCTTGGTGTAATCCACTTCCCAACTATCCATGTCTATTAAATTATGACAGCCAAAAAATAAAAAAATAAAAAAAATTAATGACCTCAAATTCTGATGGTACAATATGTCATTATCAAAGAAATTATTGTTCTGAACCTGTAGGGAAAACACACACACACACACACACATAGAGAAGAAGCTGGCATACCTTGCAGTTCTGAGCAGCTTGGTACTTAGTAACTTGGACTAGATACTTCTGATAATCTGCAGGGGCTTCTCTCTGAATCTTCAGGAACCTTTCTGTTGAAGAAGTCAGCATCTGCACAAAAACCCCATATATGATCAATCAATGCTTTTAAAAGTGGAATTTTTTTTCAAACAACTTTGTTTTCTGTATGAATTTTGTGTTATTGACATAAACATACCAGAACTCGAACCCTTTTCTTGGAAAGGTAAAGTGCAATAGCTCTTCCAAGTTTAGAAGTGGCTCCAGTTAAAAACACTTCAGTCACATCCTCAGGTATCTCATTAAGGATCACAGCTGCTGTTAATGTATTTCCATGAACTACTCTAACTCTAAGGTTTGGATGCTTGTTCACGAACAGCGTACCGCCTCCATTCAGTGCCTCATTCTACAAGATTATGATAAACAAAGTTCATTCAGGAAATTTCCACCTAAAAATTTGTTTTGTTCATTATCTTGATGGATCCTGAATGTAAATTTTTGGCTTTTTTCTGGACCCTTTTACATTAAAGGCTGCTTATAAACACACCTAATGCAGAGAGTTACAGCCCATACAGCTAAAAACAGTGATAGATACAGCAGAACATTACAGGGCAAGGCATGTGCCTCCTTACTATAGCATTTACTCAATGCCAGAAAGATTTATAATTAAGTTTCCCCAACAACCCCTTGTCACATATGGTCTGATGGACCTTACAATTTCAAGGGTCAATTTTTAGATAATCCATTGCACTTTTTTTGGTTCCATATCAATCTAAATTTTTTTTTTACCAATATTGCTTAATGAAATTGATTCTGTTGATGAAAGACACAAAAGAGAACAGAGGAAAAACCTTATTCAGTGCAGCAAGGCTGATAACTTTGACTCCCAATCTATCAGCTCTTAGAATGGCTTCTTCTATGTGTTTGTTAATCCCATCAGCTGCAAATGGTAAAAAATACTGCACAAAGAAAATGCACCATCAATTTCACTGTAACTCTGCTGCAACCTAATTGAAAGATTGAATTTTTTTTTTTAAAGAATGATGGCAACAAAATTAATGAAATTACCTGAAACCCGAAGCGAGGAACAGACCAAGTTTGATGCAACCGGCCTCTGATGTTGTAAAAAGAGACCAAAAAGGTCTTAGATTTGGCCCACATGAAGAGCATGACGATGAAACAGATTGGCAGGAAAGGGAGTATGACAAGTCTGGTAGTAAATGGCATTGACCCATATGATCTGAATACGAAAGCTGCGTGCAACGCTGAAGTCATATCCACTACATGAGCTAAGAACACAAAATCTGGAATCCTCCCATTCTTACCTACATTCACAAATCAATCAGACTTTATTTCATCATGTCATTCTGTACACAAAAGCTATGATTTTTACCTGCATTGATACTGAATTGCTTGTGCATTTCCCATGATTTGGGGTTAAGGGTCTTTCCCAGAAGATCAAAAAGTGGCATAAAAAGGCAAAAGTTGGTTGACATCTCCGTGTGATGAAGACTATGATATCTGCAATATAGGAGCATCTCATCTCTTTTTTAGGTAACAGTTGTTTTATGTGATAAAAACAGAGACTAATTAAAAATTTGATTGATGATTGCAAATCAGTATATGCTAATCCGGAAGTAAGTAGATCATCATCAGCAGCAATTTTAATGACTTTAATCATCAAGCAATAATTAATCAACACAACAGTACAGAAATGATATTCAAAGATGGTAGTTAAATTAATAAATGCATGTATTCTTTGCTAGGGAACACGTGAACACTCTTATCCTCTCAATTCTTTCAATTTTCTTCTTATATACTAAAAAACAATAAAGAATACTACAACCCAAAATTGCGGCAATTAAAAATGCAAAAATGTGAGCCAGATGGAGAGCAGATAAACCTTCATAATTGTAAGGAAAAAGATAAGGTAAAAAAAAAAAACACCGGACGGTTTACTTACGTTGGAGTGTACAGGAGGTATCGTAAGAATGGGAAAATTTCAAACAACTGATGTGGGACAATCTCAATGTTGCAATGTCCTAAGCTTCTGAGGAAATCAAACATCAATACATACGTGTAGATCATCATCACTGATCCAAACCCAAGAAAACATGCCCCCAGAATTGGAATTCCAATTACACAAGCCATAATTAGATGCTCAAGAAATGTGAGATGTCCAGCTGCAAAACAAAAAAAGATAAAATTTTCCCATATCATTATCATGATGAGCAGAGTAGAATTCCAAGAATCATTGAAACAGGGGAATCACAATGTCTAACCTGTAAAGGGCTGTGGAACAGGGGAGGAATGATGAAGTGAATGATAATTGTTGAATAAGTAGTTTCCGTGGAAATATTTGTGTGTCAAATAATACAATGGCTCTGAGGTTGTGATATGAAGCAGAACAACAGCAATGAAGCCTCTTGTATTCCATAGTGGAAGATTAACCAAATCAGGGAACATGTAATATATCAAAGTAGCTAATCCAGCTTGAAGCAAGATGAAATTATCCCTGAAATTGACACACAAAAAAAAAAAAAAACATCAATACCAATCGAGCAAAAGAGAAGAAGTAACCAAAAAAAAAAAAATTCTGATATACATTACCAATCCCATTCTTGATCAATCTGCTTGAAATCAACACCTTGTTGGAGAATGCGGCGATTTCGTGTAAGAAACAGCATGTTGGTAAAAGATGACCATGATTGATACATGAAACATCTAAGAACACACAACATTAGAATGTGGAAACACCAGATGGCCTGGCTTCTGTCTTCTTCTTGCCTTGTGTACAAAATCTTCGCAAGAAATGGTCCATACAATGCATACTGTTCAAAAACAAGAATAAAAATCAGCTTCCAGGAATTAAAAACTAAAAGGGTCGATCGACAATTTCTATTTGCAGTGTAATGTACCTTGAAGCTGCCCAAAGTTTCCCATGGCCAAGTAGCCAAAAGTGCAGCCATTTTTCTGCAAAGGATTTTCTTACAATCCCCCCTTCTTTCCGGCCCCAATGAAATGCAATAAGTGGAAAGAACAGTCAAGTATCAGTAACCCCGATGGCTAAATGAGTACAGAAAAGCAGAGGAAAAAAGTACTCTCAATTGGCTTTGATTTATTTTCCCTCCACCTTCTGGTTTGGTTTAGTAGAAGGGAAAAGTACTTATATATAGAGAGGTGCAAAGAACTACAAATGGATCATTGATTGCAATTTAATGTGTTCTGTAACTTTTTTTTTTGGGGGCAGCGAAGTCAATTACTCAATCGTGATGGGAATGTGATATTCAACGCGTTTAATTCATCTTTTCTACTGCTCCTACTATACTTCCATAGCATAGCAGCATAATATGGCACAGCTGTTTGTCCTACCTAAGTATTTATTGCACAATTAGAATTGTATGTTCTTATGTGCGGTGGCAAGACAATTGTTATTACATTTTATTTTTGTTTTGTTTTGTTGTTTTTTTGTTTTTAAGTAATTGAATTGCCGTGACGAATGAATATCTGATCCCGTGATGATAACAATCTTTCAGGGTAAAACCGAATTACCGTAAGCCCTCTAACTATACCGCTCATTGTTTGTACAAAATTATAGGCGTGATAAGTGTACATTTCAAATTTCTTGTTCATTTGGACAATTGACGAAATTTTACACTTTCTTGAGTTTTGTCGTCTTGGCTGGATGTTGCCTGGTTAGGTACAAGCTAGCTAGTGGTAAAAGGACATGATCAACTTGATTTCAAAGTATGGCCAATTTACTTTTGGCACTGATTCTAAAGTGTAGGCTACTTGAAGAAGCGAAACATGAAACTTGCGGGGATTAAACTTGAATTTTTTTGATGGCCATTTTGAGGGAAACTTGTGTACAATCCCATTTTGACTCTTCATCATTGAATCAGAGCCATCAGGAAATCTTGTTTCAGGCTCCTCTTTCCCTCTCTCGCCTACCCCCAATTTTGTCCTATTGGATTGAATGAGTTTTGAAGGATACATGGATTAATCACTTTGTGGGAGTAGGCATTTTTATAATACCTTTAATTTTCGCCCTATTTAACTTTAGTACTAAAGTTAATAATTGTATATTTCACTTTCGAAACCACGTTGGCATCTTGTAATTACATTTAGACCTTGCAAGTAATGTTTAAGTTCCCACATCATTTTTGTAGAGTGATATCGAAAACTTAATGAATGCTATAAGATAGATTTTCAAGTTAAAACCCAATATCTTTAGCTTTCAAGCCTAAAGCCTTATTACTTAATTATTAGTCATTTCGTTGGACTTCAAAGTAGTTTTTTTTTTTTTTTGGGTCGAAACGAAATCTATATAACTGATTATCCGTATGTCCTAAAATTATTGTATAATTTTTAAATTTTCAATTTTAGTACAAATTAAATTGAAAGTAAAAATCTAAACTGGACAATAATTTTAAAATAGGAGGAGTACATTTACTTGTTTGGGTCGAGCCTTTGTCTCTCTTCCTAGTACATAGCATATATGAGCTTTTCACACTATAAATGATCGATTCACATTATTTGTTTCAAAAAACTTGATAAGTAAGATGAACTCAAAATTTAATTATAATTCGAGTTTTCATTTCTTTTCTTTTCTTTTTTTACAAATTTTATAAGTCATGTTTCAACTTATGAGAACATGGGATGGGATTGGGATATCACGAATAGATCATCCCCAACCTCTTTGTTTTAAATAATATAGAATATATAGTGGCTGCAGTTATGTTGGTGAACCGACCTTAGGACTCATGTAGTTGTGTTCAATCGGTCTAGCTTCCAACCACTATAGATGGCCTTATTACCGTTGGAATATGCTGTCCTATTAAATCTCTCTTATGAAAAAACAATTTAAAAAAATAAAATAAACTTCGCTAGCTGGACCAATATTGTCGAAACAAAGAAGAAATTCCTTTGTTGCCAACCGGATTGATATGCACCGGACAGCTGATACGTAATCCTATATATGTGATCCCCAAGTCCTAACTACTGTAGATAATCTATAATTTTTTTGCATGAATTTTGATGAATGAGAATGCCAGAATGGTGATGAAGACCTCGTCGTCACCAAGGTCAACATTAACTGCAACTTTCACATTATGTTTACGCCACCTGAATGAGTTAACATTCTTTTTCTAGGTATTATTATATGAATTTATGTTTTTTTTTTTTCAACCGAGAATCATGGGTAATCTTTGACGTATGTAAAAGTTATTGTATCATTTTACTAATGGCCATACGACTGATTCACCTTTAAAATACACCACATACATAATAGAAACGTCATTTTATTAATGAAATACGATTGATACATACCAGAAATTCCCGCCCAGATCCTGACAATACACATTTCAAATACATTTTACAAAGACATAGAAAGAACATATTACTACTTTGGATATATAGATGTACCATAGTAGTATCTTCACTCAATTTAGCCATTCCAATCTTTACAAACCAAAAGAGTTTCAATCGATTGACCGTGCCATCTAAAATTAACCTATTTCTTTTGCTATGTTTGACAACCAAATTCGACCTATGCATTTGTTTGTATATCACTAATAACCATCGTATATATTACTCCCTCCGTCCCGAAATTATCGTTTAATTTGAATTTTCATTTTTAATTCAAATTGTACTAAATGTGAAATCTCAACCTGGACAATAATTTTGGGACAGAAAGAGTATAATCTATCCCTGAATGTATAAGGAAATGGATTTGTCCTGAATAACTATTTTAGTGCATAAATGATTCTACAAAATGAATTATAACCGGGAGACGGAGGGTACATTTTTTAAGCAATGGTTATAGGGTCTCAGCACTGTTTATCAATGTGCAGACCGGAGAAGGTACAAGATTAAAAGACCACGTCTTTATTGTACCGTATTGTACTTTGCATACTTTGTCAGAATATTCAATTAGTCACTCAATTAATGTATACCCAGTTAGTTCCCTTATTATGAATCACCTAAAAAAAATTTGATAACAAATATTTTAATTTTCGTGTTTAATCAAATTCTTCATTGTGTTTTTACCCATAAAAACAGACATTTACAAATTATATATATTAATTAATTAGGTTATCGAATTGAATATTATTAAGTGTCTTGGCGAGCTGGAGATCTGTAGAGCTTTTCGGACGTACACAAAACTCAGATTCATTGTAAATTTGTAATCGGAATAGAGGGTTTCGGACACTAAAATATCTAATATACCCAAAAAAAGGTCATGCCCGGTCAAAGGGTCAAATGTTCATCAATAACACTCACCCGTTCATCCAAGCTAAGCTACTCTAGCATGTCTCAGACTATCAAGTCAATGCAGTCCTTTGATCCTTTCTTATATTAGTAAGTAAAATATTTATTTCTAATATTCATGTTCTCTCTAAAAGTTCACGTATTAACTTCTTATCACGATTGAGAGGGATAATGTTAAATTTTTTCGTGAAAGAAACTTATTTAAAATGAAGATGAATAATGATAAATTTGTCTAAAAAATTGCTAATATATCGTTCGAGGTAGAAAACATTACATAAAAAACAAAAGTAATAATATTACTAAAGATGCAAACAATAAATATGAAGATAGACCTAGTTATGATTTTAATTAGATAGTAACATTTTGCAATTTATAATATTCCGGCTGCGCAGGAAATTAATGTAATCTAAAACTTTTAAAGTTAAATGTAACAAAATCCGTGCAGTAAAAGGAATATTACCAAAAATATGATTGATGTCTTTCATTTTGTAGAATGTGACCGAAACAAACAATAAATATGAAGATAGACATGATTGCAATTCTTATTTGATAATAATATTTTACAACTCATAATACTTCAGCTACATAAGAAAATGTATTTTTAAAATTTGTAAAGGTAATATTACTAAAGATGCAATTGATTTCTGCCATTGTATAAAATGTAATCAAAACAAACAACAAATACGAAAATGGGCATAACTGCAATTTTGATTATTGTAATAACAATATTTTGCAACTCATAATATTCCAGTTTCATAAGAAATTTAATCTTAAAATTTTACACTCGCATCTTACATAATCAGAGCACGGAATTACAACTAGTTACTCAATATACCAAATTTCTTATTTTCTGAAAACGAAAAGATCCCCTCTCGAGGCAAAGAATTTTCTAACATAAAACTGCACACAAAAATCTTATTCGGACATGGAAAGGGGTGACTTGATTTTTTTTGAAGTAGGGATCAATTTCTCACGTTTAAATAGGCTTTCAATAGCACAATTTATTGGACAATTTATTCTCCATAACACTTTATTCACATTCTTGTAGGATTATTAATTACTCCCTCTGTCCCAAAATTATTGTCCACTTTGAAATTTTAATTTTAGTACAATTTGAACTAAAAATAAAACTCAAACTGGACAATAATTATGGGACGGATGGAGTATCAACGATCAAAGGATTAGAATCTCCTTTATTTATCATTTTTATAAAGATTGTTAATAAGGCACAAGAATGCGTTTCTTTTTCGTTCAAGTTTCGAGCCCGATACCAAGTTATAGTGACCATTAAAATTCTTTTAATGGAGTGGTTTATTCAGAACTTTAAGTTTAGGCATTGCATTGGATAATTGGCCATATCGCAAAAAGGTTGCTAAGCAAATTGCACGTTGAATGTCCAATGGTGCGTACACAATGTGCTTTGGGTATACCCTACCTTGTTGCATATATTTGGAGAGGGGTAGACGTTTGCGACGTTTACACTTTTATTAGAAGGACAAAAAGAAATGTACATTTATGCACGAGTCATTGATTGGGTCGTCATGCGTCACGGACGAAAAGAAGAAAAGGCATGGGATATGAGCAAATGGGAAATATAAATGTAGATTGCTAGGAATCACCATTGCAAAGAACATGAAACAAAAAAGTAATTGCTATGAATTGCCCCTAGAAAGGTAAAGCAAATTATGGGAACCAAGTATAAAAAGGGCATAAATTCACGTAAAAATAGAAGAAAAATATTTTAACCCCGTATTATCATCACAAGACAAGTGACATGTTTGTAACCCTAATAATTACGACGGATGAAAATTAGTCGGATAATCCAAATAATATTATGTGTATTTATTTCAGTCGGACTAAGATTAATATGAACGTACGTATATATAATGAGTACTCGACGCGGGTTATTTAAAAAGTACCGGAAGTAAAAACTAAAAAGGTGAGGTCTTTGTGAGGCATGCAAATGACAGGG